GAATACACTGTTTCCGTCCATCCAGAAAAGCTGACACTCACTGGAGAGCGCGACCATATATTCCCTACGACCTCAACTTCAGTGAGAGTCGCGAATAGGGGGACAGTGTCAAAGGCCTTGGCGAAGTCAATGAACACCACATCCACCGCATGTCCACTGTCTACGGCTTCAGCCCAGCTCTTACGAGCTACCAGCAAGTTTGTCTGACACGATAATCCTTTGCGAAAACCATGTTGCTCGACGCAAAACAGGTTAACCCTATTTAAATGGTTCACAGTATCCCGTATTAATTTTTCAGGTAACCTAACGACCACGCTACTCAAGCTGACAGGCCTGTAATTAGCCGGTAGGTCTTTGTCACCGCACTTGAAAATCGGGCAGACAACAGCCTCCTTCCATTCGGTAGGCAAGATACAGCTGTTGAGTGACTTCTGAAATACACAAGTCAGAGGTCCACTGAGTTCCCCTGCCTATTCGTGCAACAATTTTGGATGAACAGAATCTGGCCCAGAAGCCTTAGTTGGGTTCACCTCTTTTAGCAACCGGAAAACTTGGGAGTCCGTTACAGGAATTTCATCCAGACAAAGTCGACAATCTGGTGCCTTTTCTTAAGAATGATGAAAATATGCGCCGAGCACCCATCCGAAGCTGTAATATAAACAGTGCTCCTTAATCACGGCGGTATCGAGGCCCACATTTACAGAAAAATGCGAGCTGAGTTTGTAGTCGCCAAGGTACATACAGTAAAAAACACCCTTATATCTATCGTCGTCATTCAAGGGAGACAACAGTTCCAAATACTTCCCCTTAAAGAACTTTAAATTTGCAAGAATAAAAAGCATTTCATTTGGTGGGATATCCTTAAGGTGATGTACTTCGCGTATTCTTCTTCAACGCATACATACTGATAGTGGAAATTTTGCTCGAAGGATAGTGAAAGGGAATCAATAACAAGAATCGATGACTGGCGGATCAAGATTGGCCACAAGTTTTATTCGCTTATACAGGTTGCGCTTTAGGCGCCACATGGCGGTAGCCTCAGCTAACTGAAACAGTTTCGGACTATTGTTTATCAGAACCTTCACTGCATCTTCGGGGTTTTGACACGTTGCACAGTATCACCAAGCAAATGTGGTGATGGTTTGCACACCTGTACGAACGGATTTCTAGCCTGATACCAGTGACAAAGTTGCGATAGGAGATTTCAGGAAAAGGCAGTAGATCTAACTAACGAATTTTACATTTCTGCGGCTGAATAGTGTGGTGTTATTCCAGAAGACCATTTGGTCTCCTTAATGGGGTAAGTCGTAATGGTGATTATTGATACAAAGGCGTGACAAAGGTTCTGGATTTATTTTAATGAGTGAGGAGGATTGCCTGCAGAAAATGCAATCCGAGTTCATGAATAAGGATGGATTCGTTAGAGATTGAACTGATAGAACGGAAAAGTGGACAGGATCATAACCCGCAAGATGCGAATCCTATACAAAGATGGTTTGATCGATGTCGAACCTATGACGCATTTGCGACCTCGTGGTTCAAGGCTTCTTCGGACGTATGGATTACCGAAGGTACACAAATAAGAGGTCCTATTGCTTCCAATCCATTCAACGATAAGAGCGCCGTACCAGAAGTTGGCGCGATGGCTATCCCGACTAATTGAGCCCATCCGACACGCGTTAGTAGTGCTTAGCCTAAAAGCTTCCTGTTAATTCGTTGACAGGACTCGAACTTTGAATGTAGAAACAAACACAAGCTGTCTTTCGACCTCTGTTCTCTATTTGCAACTGTAGATTGAAGGAGAGGTTGGACATCATAGGAAGACATGCACACACTGGGGTTCCCAGCACACCGACTAAACACGTTATTTCGCAAATGCACAACAAAGGTTCAGTTCTGCTTCAACGGAAAACTCTATCCACAAACTGAGGTCGTAGTGATGGGTAGCTCACTTGAAGCTATTTCACCTGATTTCCTTGTGGCCCATCTGGAGAACTCCAACTTGCGTCGGCCCATACAGTAAGCATGCTTGTACGCCCGTCACATTTCTGATACCTTTGTAGCTATTGGCGAACATCAACAGGCGGAGATCATGCTAGAGTCCACTGTATACACCGAATCATCGGACAGGCTACTATTCCTGGATATAGCCCTAGAAAGGAGATTAGATGGCTTATTAGTCTGGTCGGTTTACCATAAACCGAGTTGGTCAAGGCAGTTCTTAAAATTCAATGCTCACTGCCCCTTGAGCTACAACTGCTCTTGGTTCGTATATTTTTTGTGAAAGTCCAGCGTATCTGTTAGGAAGAATCATTTGAGAAAGAACTATAACGCGTCATTTCTACATTACGTGCTAGTGGTTGTCCTGATAACTAGCGAGCAATAGCGTGGAGCTAAAAACCGATTGAGGTTCCTAAAAAGAAAGTCTTCATTACATTGTCCTACAAAGGGTAACAGAATGATCGAGGGTTATCCTATCGTTTACGCCAGGACATAAACTAGTGCTACCCTGCAGCTGAGCGCGAGCTACTGCACCAAACCAGAAACTCGCTGCACGAATCCAACTTCGATAGGCCTCCTGCCGCCTCCTGCATCCACCAGTTTAACTGCACGTGTGGTAGCATTCACCGCGGTCGGAATGAGAGAAGGATGTCAACCCGGATTTTGGAGCACATCCCGCAAAACCTAGGAAGAAATTACCTGGTAGCTCAATTGCTGGGCACTTCTGTCGAAACCCCCGGGATGTATTCAAGTTTCTTAGCAAACAAAATTAACCGAACTTGTTCCGGTTCGCCGAGGCTGCTGCCATATGCGCCCAAGCTGTGTAAGCAAACGAAACTTGTGGTCAGTCTTGCCCTGCCAGTCATCGACTCTTGGTATCGATTCCCTTCCCTACTGTTCGATTAAAGTTTCCACGGTCAGGATGTATGCAGCTGCGTAAGAATACGCGAAATACACTGAAATTTTTTAATCCTAGTACGGTTAAATTTCAAAACACTAGTAAACAATTAGGAACGGCTATCACTCATATTCATGGCACCTCGTTCAACTAATATATTGCGCACCCATGCTATGCCTGTGATTGTAATCTCCCTCTGCGTGTACCCTTTAGCTTTTCCTATGGCGCAAATTACACAGGTCGCACCACGAGACGTTTAGCTAAACTCGTCCGTGCGCATCACCCATCGTGGCTAAGCCCAGGATTAAAGAAGTGGCGGACCACCGTCATAATCGCAAACCTAGTCTAAGCGATTCATGTGAAGCATGTTCTAACGTATGAGGAGTGTCCACACCAAACTTATCAGATGCCGAATCATTGCATTAAAGGAGGCGATCACTATTCGCCTCGACTACCCCCGTCGTGTGTTTATAAGGAGTTTGGCAACCTATGGCCTTACAATGGTAACTCATCCGTGCAGCTTTTGTGTGAGTAAATCACACTCAGTAGGATCATTTTTCCACTTTTATTTTCTAGTTACTCAACTTACTCCTTCTTATGTTAACAATATAAATGTGTTGTGGCCGGTTTGACTATGAATCAGCAAAAACGAGCTTGGTACATCTCAGTTAGAGTTCCAGTCATATGTGTAAGCTACCAGCCGAGCAGCACGAATTAAAACCTGACTGCGATATAGCCCGACCCATCCCCATCGTCATGCAGAAGACAGTGGTTGACCGTCCCAATCAGGTCTTCCCTTACCAGCGCCGTGAATCCACCCAGCATTTTGAAGCATGGTAGGGTTTAGATTTAGATTACTGATGAGTAGGCGGATTTGGGAATGCTTCGATTTAGTTCCTCGCAATTAGATTTCAAGTCGTGTAGCTAAGCTACTAATCCGGAAAAGCATCTGACGCGAGTTTTGTCCTATTGGGGCACGTCAGTGGTGCGCAGCCTACGGTTCCCTACTGGGGATCGAACCGATGACATCTAGCGGCGATGAACCAACTCGCCTTATACCCTGATCCGTCTACTCATTAGTAATAAACAGCGAACTTGTTTGTTAGACCGTCTTTTCATGGCTGCTGCGGGGATTATTCATCATTTGTAGCCGGCCTGTGTTTGCAGAGGGTGACAGCGCGCTGAACGACAACGAAAGACACAGTTTTTGCAACCATCCGGTAGGCATGGTTTCATCATAAATGAGATCAAACTCGAAAGCATTCACTGCAACCAACTCTATCGAATGACTTGTAATTTTGCGATCACAAAGGTGACACCGCTAGGTCCCAAGTCGACTTGCTGAATTATTGTACACGAAGGATGCCGGTCAATTGAATCGGATGGGTACTCCGCTTTTTCTCTTCGGTGGTTAGGTTGCGTTAACCGCTCCAAGTTATTTCGACGCTATCGGTCTGTTCTATGATCATTAGAGCTGTAGAAGCTGAACTGAGGGAGCCGCGTTCCTTATTTGTGACTACACTTTAGTAGCTTGCAAGTAACTTGTGCTGAATGTATACGGAACGCACACCCTGTCTGATGCCTTGAGAATCCAGCCACTGCGACTCGTCAACAATTATGTCGACATGCGAAGACATTGCCTGCCAGTACACGGGAAAATGGCATCAACCGGACCTTTCTGCAGATAACATTGTTTATGCATCTACCGGACAGATACATTGTGTTTTGTATCTTGTAAAAGTGGATGGTATGGGTGTGCTCAGTTATTTACACGTATATTCATGCCCATCCTATTCGGACATGGGCTGTTAGCCACCACCTGCTTACCGCGCTCCCTCTCTGCAAATCTACTGTCCTGGACCAAAGGATGCTGCAAAATTACTAGGCAATATCCATTGTAGGCGTCGTATGTAAGCACGCGTATTTAACTGATGTACTTCAAAACCCAGCCGAACCGCATTGTCACGCTGATCTAAACCTAAAACACTAAGTAAGCAAAGACACCCTTAAGAAACGACCTTACCATCTCTACGTAAATGTGCTCTTCGTGAGCTCACCAACTCTATTGCCGATGTACCATTTTCCCTACTTCCGTTTACAGGTCGTATAACGTAACTAACCTCCTAGATGACTTGAAAATTCTTTATCAGACTGCTGGACTGAAAGGAAAAGGGATCAGTTTTTTGGTTAGTGAACAAGATATAAAGGAAGAGACTTTCTTGGAATACCTCAACAGCATTCTCTCCTCTGGAACTGTAGCCAATCTTTTCACACGTGAAGAAATGGAGGAGTTCTGCCAAGAACTAATTCCAACGATGAAGAAAGAATTCCCGAGACTTAACCCCAGCAACGAAACTCTTCAGGAATACTTTTACAGCCGGACGCGTAAATATCTGCACATAGTCTTATGCTTCTCCCCTGTGGGTGAGAAATTCCGTCAGAGGGCACTGAAATTTCCTGGGTTGTTTTCCGGATGCACAATTATTTGGTTCCATCAGTGGCCACGAGAAGCATTGGTCTCTGTCGCGGATCATCATCTGAGTGGTTTGCAAATGAGCTGCTTAGCTTCCACCAAGGCAGAAATCATTCATACCATGAGTGCCATCCATGACGAGGTTGCCAAAACTTGTGCAGATTATTTTCGGAGGTAAGTGCTTTTCCATCACTGATGAGAAGGAGGATTGTTTATGATATGTTACTAATTCATCACAGCTGCTCACAAGCAAAATTCGTCTAATCCCAATCCGGAAAAGCACCAGCCGATCGTTTCGCCTTATTGGCGCTTGTCAGTGGTGCGCATTCCCTCGGTCCGCTACTGGAGATCGAGCCCATCATCTCCAGCAGCTTGCGCCAACTAGCCAGCACCTTATGCAACTGAGCCATGAGGGACAGAAGCAGGCCGTATAAACCTGCAAACTAAATGGTATATAGCGCAATCTACCCTTCACTGCCAGCATGTTCCTGCCATTGTCGAGGGCAGTAGATGGTCTCCGAGGTTGCGACTTCCACAACACAGTAGCTATGTCCGCATAGCAATTGGGGACCGTGTGAGCAAATATTTTATATTACTGTGGGGTAGGAGAGTTGTTGATCATATTTTTAATGATTCATCCCAGCTGCTCACAAGCCTGATTAGTCAAACTCCAATCTGGAAAAGCACCAACTGAGCGTTTCACCCTGTTAGGGCTTGTCAGCGGTGCGTATACCCTCGGTCCTCTGTTGGGGATTGAACTCATGTTCGCTAACAGGTTATGCCAGCTAGCTAGCAGGTTTCATCACCGCTTTATACGTCAAACATACGTTGGATTATTCGGCATGCATGTGGTGACCGTGGGCCTATTAACAAAAATTCTGCGACACTTCTATACCTCAAGTCCATGTGTTTGTGTAAACGTTAGGCAATAGTATAGAGAAATGCCGAGTGGAATTGGACCCCTTGCCAGTTTGGTATGTGGCTTACTGGAGAGTGTGAGAGAAAACGTTGGTTTCTTCTGCTTTGTGCGACAATCATTCTCTGTGGTACAGACGTTGTCGCTTGGAGACTAGAAAATGTGGGATGGAAACTGACTGACTAGATAGACTAAGAGGGCACCGTAATCGCAAAAGTATTCCAATCGACCTTGGTATACTACTATCATCCGCTTGAGGCTAGTTCCGTGGTTGAAGGAACTGCTACCCAGCTTAACGGTGTGACGTGCCCTAAAGAAACTTTTCATAGAATAGCCAGGTTAGTTGATTTGTTTAAGAGTTTAATTGTACCTACATTATCCAGCTGCATATAGTTTGATAGTTTGAGGAAAATATTATGTCACATCGAGGACAGATAACAAGGGAATAGCAGGGCTAGTTTAGAGCGCTTGCAACCAGCACACAGACCAAAATGCTTATAGTGCTAAAAGTCAACTGTCGGCTTAGGTTTGGTAAGTACGGCCCTTAGTGAAGGAGCTACCCTTCCTCTGCACGACAGTAACGTGCAAGTCAGTGGATAGTGAGCGACGCTCTATCGCATTCAGTAACCTAAGCACATCGATAGTTACCTTCCCCCGTAACCCAGCGATCTTCACACTGACTGGTAACAGTCGGGTTCATGGCTTCTAGCCCCATAGGGTCAGATGGATTGCGCACTGCTTATGGCTCCCGAGAGGAACAAACGGACGTACAGATCTTTTCTGTGCATGTGATATCTATCAGACTAAGTCTACGCCATTTCTCGATCAGATTGGCTCCTTTCGCGAGCATATTATGCTGAACAGCAAAAGCTTTGCTTTGTAGGGCATACAGCTTTGTTAGCTACTCAAAGGTAGCGGTTGGCTCCGTAGCAACCCACTCCACCAGAGGTTCGGCGCAGATTTCGTCCAGTGCTCTGCGACGGATTCCCTCATTCTGTCCTATCAGTTCCGTAGATTCGTACACCCGGCAAATTTTCACGTGTACATTTCTAGTGTACAAACGACCTGCTTCCAATCGTCTCCTTCTTCGTACTCTTTTAATATAATGTTCTTCAACTCTGTCGAGTGACGCGGATACGATCCTCCTCCCACCACTGCGTTTACATGAACTGCACGTTCACAATCATACGGCAAACGTATTTGGCTGCGGCGCGTTTTCTCACTCCTCAGTCGTTTGTGCATTGGGTACAACATTTGCTCTCATCCTAATTGGTGAGGTTCGCCTCGTTGGAGAAACACGAACGCACATGGAGTATCGGCCGCCAAACCTTTAACAGGGTACACGCGAGAAGGTTCAAGCTGAAAAGTCTCTCTTGCGCACACGCGGTTACCTATATGCAGCTGTCGCCCTATTGAGTGAAAACGCATAGTCGATGTAGCAGCCACACCCTTGCGCCACTGAGCGTCAGACGCCCGACTCAAATCCGTCGAGCAACGGCTTACTTGTATGATCCTCAGAGCAACTCTGCTGTTCAGCATAATTCGCTCTCGCAAGGGAGCATCTCGACAGAGAGGTGGTGTGATGAATTTCTATTTATACGATGACATTTACTTGTTCATATCGTCTGAACATAGCTAGTGGTTACCTGGGATCAGGGTGGCGTGGAATTTGTGAAAAACTATAACAATGTGGACTGAGATTCAACCTAGTTGGCAATTGAGTAAAACACGCTTAACAGAAGTTACAGCCGCTACACATTCAGATGAAGCCATCGGTAGAATTAATGTGCTTCATTTGACTAAATTGCAGGTAGTATGCATAGGCGACCATGTAGTATAAGCATGCTATTACATCGTCTCGCTTCGGATCTATCACTTGTTCGTTTCTGAGTAGCGCGGTTATATAGTTCATTCGAAGAGGCAACATAATATTCTAACCATTGTCGCTTTTCATATCACTGAGGCTACCGATGTTATAGCACCATTCCTATAGAAATTGGTTTTTAGCAGTCACCATCAAGTTGCTTTGTTTCGTGCACGTACTTCACTTGTTTGCTAAGCATATAGCATGGAGCGATTTTTTGAAAGATGTAAAGCGCAAGGAGGTGAATACTGACCTAGCCGTTGGTTTGAATTGTTACTTCTAGCCATCAACATTGGTGTCAATACCACTCGCATTCCATTTGAGATGAGGACCCGCAATATAGTGTTTAAAACTAGCACCAGTGATGAGTTTGCTATCTGCGCATGGTCGAATAACAGAATTGCAGTGTGATGCTGAGTTATTGATGGAGTAATTTACTAGAGTCTCTGGATTTTGAATCCTTGTTACCGAGGGCCAACTTCTTGTGACTTTGCGTTGTTGATAAACTGGGTTGTTACCATAAACTTATGGACATTTAGGTTACATACTAGCTCATCAATCCTTCGCCATCTATTCATCATGGTGTGATAAGTTCCCATACGTTTCAAAGTTGAATTTGGAGAACTCGCAGTGTGGTCGGATTGTGAGAGGCAACCTCTATTTAGACCTTGGTCAACTTTGAATTAGACCTCAGTCAATAAGAGTCCAAACCAGAACGAAACAGCGGTTGTCGGGTGTCAGTGTTGGGAGCAGCAACACCAAACCACCTCCAATTCGAATTCGGTCCTTCGGCTCGCAATGACCGAGATCTACTTCAAAGTGGACCGAGGTCTGAGTAGATATTGCGTGTCACAATCCAACCGCACAGCGAGTTCTCCAGAAGCAACTTTAAATTCCTTTCCGCTGCGCCAAGCGTTGCTAGCGGATCTCAGTGACATAGTGAGCATGGCGCCCACCGTGAATCCCTAGACTCTGAGTTCCACCCCAATACAGGCAACCTTCACCTGATGAGTCCAAACCAGGACGAAGCCGCGGTCGTAGGTCGTCACTGTTGGGAGCATCAACACCACCATCATCCTCATTACGCACGTTAGCTACAGGTGGGAAACACCTTAGCTATTATGCCGCAATACAACAGATAAGAAAAAAATACAGAGACACGTCGGCTGATTCACCAGTAACGGATGGACATCGTTCCGGAGAGCTAACAGCCAGCTATCGTGCCACAAAAAGAATTATATTATGTCTAACGCATAAGACTGTGATTGATGAGGATGCTAAGCAGGAGGGGGATGGACAAAAAACTCACAACACAAACGCCATTGGGGCCGACTCCTAGCCATAGCAACAAGTGTGTCCAACCAAACGTGCTCATCGTCCTTGGGACCCCAACCAGGCAGTCGCGATGTACCAACCGAAGCCAACTTCAAAGTGAGGGTTTCAATTTTCGCAACCAAGTCATCGCTTGGCCTCCCCTCCTCCTCCTCTTCCAACTGCACCATCGGTGCGCAAACAATGTACGGCGAGGGAGTCGGTATGCTGGAATGCGCAACACGTGGCTCAGGCATCAGAGCCTCGTGCGTGAGATAATGGTGCTGAGCGGTTCGCTAGCTTTTCCTGCACCAAATACGCGACGCCGAACACGCACATTGTTCACGCGGTGCTCCCACCAGACATGAGCTAGGCTGCCGAGGCAACAATGATCGAACACGGCTAGCATTTGTACGTCCCTCGACCTGATGAGCCAGGTTTCACAACCGTATAGGAGAGTTGAACGGAGGACTATATTATAAACTCTGCCATTCAGGGCGAGAGTGATGTCGCGTCTGCGCCATCGGTGGCGAAGATTGGCGAAAGCACCTCGAGCTTTTGCCATACGGTTCGTAATCTCGGCTCCGATCCCACGGGCGCTAATGTAGCTGCCCAGGTACTTGAATTCCTGTACGACATCCACCTGGTCACCACCAAGGGTCAGCGCAGGATTCGGTCCCTGCCAATCTTGGAGAACAACTTTGCCTTTACAGGGAGTAAACCATAACTTAAAACGATTGACAACCAGTGCTAATCGGTGCAGTGCAGCCTGAGACGTTTGTGCGCTGTCACATATGAGGGCAATGTCGTACGCATACTCCAAGTCAACAAGCCGCTCACCAGGATGTGGCTCCACATCTTCTAGGTCGAGTCCAGCGAACGCTGTTTCCATGCCTTCATCAATAGCGATGTTAAAGAGGAAAGCTGACCGCGGGCAACATCTTCTCACACCGCTGGAGATGTTGTAGGGCGACGACAGCTTGCCATAAACCCGCAATCTGCCCGAACTATGCGCGTACAGCGCTTTGATAATGTTTACGTATTTATCGGGCACACGTTTTCTCAGCAGGCAGTCCCAAGGGCACATCGATCCACTGAATCGAACGCAAGTTTGATGTCGAGAAACACGACAACGGAGGATCACCAATAAACCTGGCGGTGCTCCAACAATTGGTGCAAATCGAATATGTGGAAGCAGCCTCGATTTTGACGAAACCCGGCTTCCCCTTCGCGGATCTGGCCTTCATGAGTATCAGTCAGTCTGTGGTGAACGACAGAGGTAAGCAATTTAGAGACAATTGAGATCAGCCTGATCACACTATGGTTGCCGCATTCCGAACGAGATCCTCCTTTGAAATTGGTGAATATGACGTGGCGCCTCCAGTCCGTAGGGACAGTATCCTGATCTCAAGTTCCATTAGAAACTCGTGTAAATCATCTACAAGAGCGGCTTCCCCGAATTTGTAGAGAGCTGCGGGAATTCTATCTGCACCAGCGGCCTTATGCTATTTCAACAGTCTGATCTCACGCTCGACTTCTGCGTGTGAAGGCGGTTCTAATGAGACGGCTTGTGGAGAAGACCACCTAATGCCCGAAAGAGAAAGCGATGACTGAACTTGGTTAAACTGTTTTGCAAAGTGCTCGGCCCAACGCTCCAAGCGATTTCATAAATTGTGGATTGTCTGTCCACTCTCGGGGCTTATTGTCTTGCTAAAACCAGATCTCCTGGTGCCTATTACCAGTATCAGACGGAATAAGTTACGATGATTACCAACGGTAGCGCCTGTTTCCATTTCCGATGCACGATGAGAACACGAGGATTCGCGATCTTTCTTCAGGCTAACACTTGATTTGGCCATGCGCTTTTTGCGAGCCTCATTGTATTCGCTTCCAGCCGGCATATGTCGGCGAGAATCGAAGGGTTCCAGAGACTTTGTAGAGACCCAGTGTCTAGGTTGGTAATTTGAATTATCACATAAAGACATGCCTGCTGATAGTAATGTTTGAGGAATATGCGACTAGTGATTTTCGACGGTGTTCAGTGGGCATTTACTCAGCCCATATGCCATCGCAGCTTGATACGCACTCAGAACACTTGGCTTCGCCAGCTGGATGGTGTCAATGCGCTTAGAGCGACGTTTCGGATGTCCGCCGAAACGCACCCGCAGGTCGGCACACGAGAGCGTGATCGGAGTCCCCGCTGGTGCTCCAAATCGAACGACAGTTTTGGACACAGCCTCTCCAGCGGTAACTAATCGTGATGTGATCGATTTGCATCCATGACTGGCCTCAAGCTGGTTGGTGCCAAATCACTCTTCTGCGGGAGCTATGTCGAAAGTTACTGCTCACTTGAAAGAGACGAGCACATTCACACAGATGTAGCAACCGCTCACCCTTATCATTACGGGAGCCTCCACCATGTTGGCAGAACAGATGAAGCCCATCAGAGGACATTTTTTGACTTGGGTGTTTAGATCATCAACAAGCACCACAGTATCCGTGCTTCTTCTGTAACGAAGGAGATCGTTAACTTGGTGATAGAAATCAGCTTTCACCCAATCAGGGCTGCTGTTTGTGGGGGCGTAAGCTGCAATGACGAACAGGCACCGTTTGTCCCCGCGCGACTTCGAAGTCTGGAATGAGCCAGCCAACCTAGCAGTGTACACCTGGTTTTGGGCAGGGATCCAGTCGATCGGAACACCTTCAGCCTGGGGACTAAAAAGCAATGTAGTCGCCAGCTGGACCCGCATTTGAAGCTGCGTCATCGCCAGACAGACGCAGTGAGAATGTGCCGTCAGTGTCGCATGTGGGGGATCGCAGACTAAGCACTGAGCTCGAATCTTGCAGGCGCGTTTCCGATAAACAGCAAATATCGATCAAGAACGTCTCGAGCGTTCGGGCAAGTGCTGCCTGTTGGCCAATATGTAGCAAAGTGCGTACGTTGAGGCATGCCAGTCTGAGGGAGGATCGAGGACTCCAAAGGGAAACGGATGAACTGACGTTATCCGCTAGGTTGAACATGGACTTATCGACTGGATTGGAGCGACGCGCTGCGATTGAGTGTGCGCTGAAATTAGAAGACAAGCGACTATTCCAGGAAGATGGAGGGAGGCTGGGATTTGAAGGATTGAAAACAGGGATAATGAAGTTGAAGTTTGAACGGGACGCTGAGGATGTAAAAGCGCAAGAGGGGGAATAAGAATACAGGAAGGCCTGAGCAGTAGCATCGAAACCCCTAGCCACTCTGCTCGATGCAGCAGATGGGGCAACGTAGATTACCCTCTGCCACGGCCAAAACAGCAAGGGATTCGTAAATTATCCCCATTTGAGTCAGAAGCATGCAAATGCGGGAAGAATATTCCTTTATGTAATTCTCATCTGGCGTGTAAAATTATAAAGCAAAATTATGAAGCAGAGAATAAAGCTCATAGAGGCTTGAACAGAAAGCAACCCACTCATTACCTTGGCAGTATGAAAACTTTATCAATGGTTTGATCAATCAGTGTCGCATTAGGAAGCAAGTGATCAATGCAGGTCATATGTCAAGTTCAAGTCCAAGGCAATTTCAGAGCTTGTAGCTGTGTGCGCTGTTTGCACAGCTCTCTTTTTAGAACCTTGTTTGCAGTGGCTTCAGAAATGCTCAACAGATGTTTCTTAAGCTGTTTTGGGTAGCCTTTAGGGATAGTATAACGATTTGAAACGACTGGTTCATCTAAACTTGATGCCCAGTGTCGACCAAGTGTTGTAAAACGGAACTGTTGATGAATTTTACGTCCCTTTTCGTAGTGACGCAGGACAATGTTCAGCGATTCTTTTGGACAAACATCTGGTCGTATGTCCAAGACACACAGCACCACAGGCGCAGGTGAGCTGGTATGAGACAAAGGATTCGGACCAAACTGGGAGTTTATCCTTTAAGTGCTGAAGAATCAGTAGTCTTGTTTCGGCAAGTAGTTTTAGGTTGGCGGCTGGAAATGTCTTGGCCACTGCGGTCGAGATTTTTTCTATTCAACAGTTCGAACGCGACGTCACCGTTAAAGGGATCTGTAAGGAATACGTCCTTTTTGGGCACTGTAGCAACATATTTGACAGCCTCAAGCTGTTTGGAGTGTTTTTTGATGAAAAGTACGAGGTATCCATTTTCTTGCAGCGTGTTAAAAATGAGCTTGGTTTCGCTTTCCAGCGTTTTTGGGCTGCAAATTGCTCTGGCACGATGGTATAAGCAACGGACTAAATTCCGCTTGTATCTCAGCGTTACATAGCTAAGAAAGTGGGTGTATTGACCTACCCACGTCGCTTTGCGAAAAGTACTCCTTTTGATCGTCCCGTTTTCACGCCGATGCAATAGAACGTCTAAAAACGTCAAGCAGCCATCTTGCTCAACTTCACTGGTGAATTTTAATAATGGATGCACTCTGTTAAACTGATCTATTAGGGTAGATAATCGTTGGAAGAGTCACAGACAATGAAAGTATCGTCCATGTAACGGTAGTATAAATCAACTGAAGATTTAAGGGCGTTCAGGTCTCCACGTTCAAGCTTTGAAAGGAAGATGTCGGCCAAAAGGGGGCCTAAGGGAGAACCCATTGCGACTCCATCTATCTGTCTATAGTAGATTCCATTAAACCGAAATTGTACGTTGAAGGTGCAACGCAGAATCAATTCTTTTAGTGTATTCACTGGAATTCCAACATCAATGTTTCTCTCAGTGCTGAAATCACAATTGAACGTCAGTCTCTACCAACGGCGCGTTCGCGAAAATTGATTCCACATCAAACGAAAGCATTAATTAATCCTTCACGTTTAGGTTTTCTATTCGATTGACGAAATCAAACGTTTCTTTGACCGTATGAATCGACAATTCTTTGCGGACCGGTTCCAGCAACTCTATTATCCTCTTTGATCACCTGCTTCCTAATGCTACACTGATTGATCAAACGATTGATTTAGTTATCATACTACCCAGTTAATGAGTTGGTTGCTTTCTGTTCAAGCCTCTACGAACTTTATTCTCTCCAATATTTTGCTTCATAATTGTACACCCCGATGAGAATTACCGGAAAGAATATTCTTCTCGCATTTGCATCAAGAGATTGTTAGCAGGAAGGGTCATGGTATATTGTATGGGCAGGATACTGTCAGGTTGCCCAGGCCTAGACAGGAGAACGATTAAGGTTCAAAAGCTTACCACAAGGCAGCGAGGTTTGACCATGGACTACAGAGAGTCCAGTTTATGGATTAAGGAGCCACCCTCACCCCACCCCTCAACCTGGATGGCAGGAGACTGAGTTTGTCTGGCCTCTAACCATTGACTAATCTGGTATGAGCGGCTCTGAAGGTGCGAAAAAGCACCACCCAGCATAGCTCTATGAATTACTGAGGCACACAAACCATCGCACCAGCTTAATTTTCAGTCTAATCGCAATGGATCAGCAACACCGAACCACCACCGATTCCCATATCTTTGTTTCATGAGGACCAAGCAACGGCACACGTTACTAATATCCCGCTGATTTTGTTGTACTGTTGTTAATGATAACGATTAAAGCGACCGCGAGGATGATGAGTCAATGTGAAGACATCAAATTGCGAATATAATTAAATAAAGGAACCTTAGCAAACTTCTAGCGTAGGTTTCTGGTATACGTTGTGTGTACAGTGTGTATGTGTCTCAATTGCTATGACAATTTAACTTTGCATACGTAATTTTCCAGTTGGAGCGTGATGAGAATCAGAGATAATTTTGGCCTACTAACGTTCATAACTGCATGGTACTGTTCACTGGGATGAGCTAGTTATCCGAAGGCAATTAAACTTGCCAGTTTCTATGCTGTCATTACGCGGACTGGTACTATCAGTGTCCACTGATGGAATTTTTCTGATGGAACATGTGAAACCACTTTCTACTTTCTATCTACCTCTACTCTCGGTATTTTAGGTACCGTCGCCAAACATACGTGACACCTAAATCTTACCTGTCGTTTTTATCGAGCTACAAGACTGTTTACATGCAACAGTACAACCATTTCGCAGAGCAGGCTGAGCGAATGTCCGGTGGCTTGAGGAAACTAACAGATGCTCAGGAAAATATAGCTGAACTGAGCAAGGAGCTAGCTATTAAGGAGAAAGAACTGGAAGTTGCGAAACAGGAAGCTGAGGAAGTGTTGCGTGACGTACGTTTTCGTTTTCGTCGTTTGCATTCGAGTTACCGTACACCATAGTAAATATGTTGGTTGTTGTGCTATTTCTTATATGAGACGACTTTTGCTCGTTTGAATGCATTTGCGAAACGGAAGTTTACTAAAACATGGGTTACCAGACTACGGCCTGCCTACTGTACTCTGATTTACTTAATAAAGCGGATGGTACACGAGTCATTGGGATACAATTTAGATTTGCCATCACATGCCTTGTCATTCGTTACATACCATTTGGAAACTAGCGTGAGCCGGCTCATCGTTGTTGCTTATGACGCCATACTACCGTGCTATCATTGACCTAACATCGTTGGAACATTGATGCGAGTGATCCCGCATGAAGTTGTAGCGCCCAAAAAAATAACTCTTATCTTTCATGTACAATTTACTTGTTGACCGATTGTACATTATTCCTTATTGTTTTACTCGTCCTTACAACCGGCTCGAGCCTCGACAGCTTTGTAAGTTCCCGCGCTTACGTGTTCGCTCTCTTCTCGCTTCATCCATCCGCTTCTTACTGTAGCCCATCGAATACAGCTCGCTGTGTCCGACTCCGATTGCCTTCTGATATCCGCGCTTAATTTCGCGCACCGTCTCGGACTAGTATTAACTAGTCCTACAAAGTCAATTCATCCGTGCACCATATACTGTTTCTTATTACCTCACAACTTTGTGCCAAAGCTTCCGTTAGTCAGCTCCCTTGAAGTAAAGGTCATATAAAACGTCCTTAAGCTATGCAATATTTGCCAGCTATTTGGAGCGGTTGAAAGTGTTAAGCACGCATTTGTGCTGGAAGCGCAAATTGGTGAGGTTCGTGCATTTTGGTATTGCAAGGTGCATGTACTTAGCACCGGTGCCCAGTTCCATCACTGTCTGCTGATTTGGCTCTGGTAAAAAGGTGTTACTCAAACCCTCCAAGCGTTTGGCCTCGTATATATATATATATATATATATATATATATATATGGAAAACTTCCTTTTGATATATTTTATTACTGCAGGTACTAATGAACCTGACATGTACCCCTGGTGTTCCGTAGCCCCACCGATGGCCACCAGCTTTTAGTTTGGTTGAAGTTTTAATAGGATTTTTATTATGTTTGTAGTGCAATGCCTATTTTTACACAGGTCCCTTTATTTCAGTCTCCACTGGTGCTCCTAAGAAAAGATAAGCGGACATCAAGTGTCGCGTTTCCCTTGCATATTTTCTCTCGGGGTTTTCATTCTGGCTTGCAAGTATGGTGCTTAATATTTAGGTGGTCCACCTCAACCATATTGTCAGTTAACAGGACCCTGCAAGTCATTTCTTCGGTCCCTCCCGCCTCCTGTTCAAGATGTTTGGTGACCCCTGGAGTTAGCCAAAGATGTTAACTTTACTTTCGTGATTTATTCATGTCCCTATAAGTGCCTTTATGTGAGCTGTGGGATCAGTCGAGACTTACCAATCCTCCCATTTTTGATACAACGTTCAGCGTAAACCTATCCTGCCATAGAGAGTGACATGCTGCTTGGTCTTTTCTGTCCTGTCAGGCGAGACACCAAGTGTGAATGGTTTCACTCATGAATTGTGACTAGACTTGCCATAACCTGTGGTGATCCGTCTTTTAAACAGTGGAAAGTAATTTAAATAAAAATTTAGATAAATGGACGCACATATATCTAAAAAAACTTTTAGTCTCAATTTTTTATGTGAACGTGGAGTAGGCGCATGCTGAGTGATCAGGTCTACCGACGGCACAATAGTGAAAGGCTCAAAGCGATATTTCAACGAAACCTGTCTTCTAAGATATACATCATTAAGGTGATTAGGGGAAGAATTATTAGGAATGCTACAAGGCGAAGTAGTTTCACTTGCACAAAAGTAAGGGATGATTGATCCATGCTATTCTAATTATCTGCACAATTGTGGCTTTCGCATTTAGGTCACTCTCCGACAACAGGCTTCCACGGATGTTCGCAATAAAGTACAATCTGTCAAAGACAAAGCCCAGGTCATTGTGGATGAAATTGACCGTGAAAGGACAGTATCGGAGGCCAAACTGGAGGCAGCCAAGCCAGCGTTGCTTGAGGCTGAAGAGGCACTAAACACAATCAGACCAGCGGATATCGCAACCGTGAGAAGGCTGGGGAAGCCACCAAATTTAATTATGAGGATAATGGATTGTGTTCTGCTGCTATTTCAGCGACGTTTGGAACCATATCAAGCTGATATGGAGCGCCTTTGCCCAAAACCAAGTTGGGCAGAGTCATTAAAGTTGATGACGAACACCGGATTTCTCTCTATGTTAGTGTCATTTCCGAAGGATTCAATTAACGAAGAAACGGTCGAACTGTTGGCTCCCTACTTAACGATGGAAGATTACACACTTGACATGGCAAAGAAAGTTTGCGGAAATGTCGGGGGATTGTTATCCTGGACCAAAGCCATGGCTTATTTCTATTCCATAAATAAAGAAGTACTCCCTATGAAGGACAATTTAATCAAGCAAGAAGCCAGCCTCATGAAGGCTATGAGTGATCTGCAAGTGAGCTATACAATCACCGTTGTCAGCTTTATATCCTTACTGCCAACAGACGTTTGGTATGTGAATTTTCCAGTCCATCGAACTCGTTGACTAGTTATTACCCTTCAATAGCTCCACTCCGCCACTACGAAAAGGTCTTTGATTTGAAATATTGTGTAAACCAGCATCGATTTATTTTACTGAAGGTAGCCGCAAAATTGATATTTGGCGAAACAAATTGTTGTGCTGCACGTCATCCTCATAATAGCAAATCGCCATAGTTAACTAATTAAGCGCGATTGGACATTATAGGAGATTTATCAAACCCCCAGTACGAAACGCCGAGAAATAGAAGGCAGGCTTTACGCTGGGAAGATATCTGCTCCATGTGTATTACTCAGCATTGATACCGTCAACCTCTCTACATTGAGCAGATCAAGGCAGAGAACATGCGCCATCGCATAACTGGGCTTTCGTCCTAACTTGCTGTACTTGTTTGCTACTTCGTTCTCCGTTCACCCCAGATATTCCTTCAATTGGATGTAGTCCATGGAAAAGCTCTAGCAGAAATCACTGACATTTCCATAGAGAATGTGGCGAAAGGAATACGGAACATGCACGCTGCCTAACTAGTCAGATGGCTTGCTGTAACTTACCGATCAATTATTTGCTTAATGCTCAGATCTAATAAATAGAATTTTAACACTTATTTTATTGGGACATATACGATAGCAGCATCCACACCAATCATAGTTCGAGCGAAAATGGTGGCCAGCCGACCAGTACTGGTTTCCAAATGGTGGTTACCGCTTACAAACCATAACCATGTGTGCTAAGACATGAATGCTGTAAGCGGTGATAAGACTGTATGCTTGCAGGCGTATCAGTCTTGAGCGTCAAAGCCTCTCCTATCAGAGTAAATGCACTGACTACCTGTTAATGACTTTGCCACATAATTTTCTCGGAATATTTATATGAGTTGACTATATGGAACGCGTTTCTGTCAGCCACAGGCATTCACGCACCTTTATAACAAATTTAGAGTAATTATGAGAGGGATGTATGTGCAACACGGCACAGGGTGAGTCGTTATGCCTAGCTGATATATGAATCAACACAATTTTTTCATGTCCATTGCATCATTAGAAACAACGGAGCTACTTTTAACTTGTGAAGTATGTACCCATTTTGCGCTGGTCGAAGTCCCCTGAGTTTCAGAATGTCAAGGCCGCATTCAATTGATTTGAAAGACAGTCATCAGATGTGATCTGCCAGTTATTAAAGCCGATCGATGGGAATAAGTCCTGATATGGCGATCCCCTGGTTTGACTGCATCACGTTGGGCAAAATAGTCAACAATCATGGCTTCACTAAGCAGCTAAGCAACGTAGGCGGTTTGCCTGTTGGAACGTCGACTACATTTGTGTCAGTCGGATGGACCGTTTTTGGCGCACTTTCGGCTACGTGTCCAGGTAGCTTTCTATGACCTCTGTGACCCTATCCATTTCGCTTTCGTAGCTGGATCACCTTTTAGCACTATTTACCTTGTGAGACTGAATGTTTCTTCAATAAGTGCATTTCTCACCGAATGTCTGTCTTCTCAAGCGTTCCCTAAATAGTTTTCGAATCCGAGTACATAGTGACCAACCCTCGCTGTTAAAATCACGCAGACTATGTTACGTGCTGTGTGTTGAGGCTGTTAACAAACCTGTTCTTGTCGACTGAAAAATACAGGCTGCACAAAGTTCACTTGAGGAAAAGGAGCATGAGCTTGCCAGAGTACAAGCAATTTACGATGATTCGATGCGCCGAAAGAAGGCCCTGATGGATGATGCGGAACAGTGCCGAAGAAGAATGATGGCTGCGTCCACTTTGATCGATAGTTTGGGAGATGAACGAATTCGGTGGACGGAACAAAGTGAACGGTTTAAAGATCATATTGAGAGGTGAGTTGTCCCGAGTATAATTCCAATAGTGACTGCTTTACGTTTCATCATTAAGATGCATTTGTCGTGTAGTTACATATGTCAGCTGCGAAAATCCTACACTGACCATTCCTCTTCCCATTGGTTAATCGGGTTGCCTACAACCCAAGCTGAGCGTCCCTGTCGTTCGTGTGGCACCGAGAAGCCATGCTGTAAGAAGGTGTTGTGATAGAACCTGATATATATTGTGTGTTTTCTTGACTGTGAATGACTCTGTACTGATTGCAACGTTTAACTTGCTTGCCGTGAAGGCGGCCAACTTTCATCATTGCTACAGTAGCAAATGTAACGGCTAAGACAGTAGTTTGTGCAGGTTAGAAAGTATCAAACGCCGATCTGCGGAATTCAATCTAACCCCATCCATAAGCTCTTTGAGCCATATTGCAACATAAACAAAACAGTGCTTTTGAACTACATTTTGCAATATTTATCAACCATTGGTGAACTAGTCGAGCCCCTTGCTTTGTTTTCATGTTTCAAGCTCATGAACATTCGAAGGCACAACTGTCGGACGCCTGTATGTTAACTAGTCGTATATGAAAAGCTCTGATATAATAACAAGGACCAAAGAGATAACGAAGATCCGAGAATCTGTCCACTCGAAACGACAGACATTTCATGCTAACGAACAATGAACTTTAGAAAATGAGCATAAATTACGCATGTGTGAGTGTGAGACAAAAACTTGTGTCTTAGGCTGTCGATACGCCGGTGTTTTCCCCTCAGACATAGCACATATGTTAAGGTAAAGGGTAGAAATGAAACGTAAGAATTTATAGGCCATGCTGTGATCTGCATGTGTTTATTTGGTCTGAGCATCTGTGATCATCCATACTTTGTGTCAAGGGCGCGTCATATGGATCTCGGCGTCTTAAACATGTTTATTGAATTTTGAACGTTCATCTGATTAGTACTAGCAAGCTAGTACTTCTGAGGGGCAAGGTGTACTCTGATGGCGCTTGCAACTCTCTTCCAAGTATCAGGATATTTAATTAGAACCGTAGTCTCTGATTTTTGTGATCGCAGATTTTTATTGCTTGTCAGATATCTAATGTTCAGAGACGTGTGAACGCGATTACGACTACTGTGCGCATGGCAGTGTATGAGTTCGAAAAGAAAGTACAAGTTCAGCAGCCTTCTCCGATTATCATGAGTGTAAAGCAACTGACCTACTGAGTGCTGTGTATTTACTCTATACTTTCATCCACGCCGTGGGCGCTGGTCCAGACACCCACTACCCACTACCAGACAGGCACATACACGTCACACTTAGATGCCACTATTAATGCATTCTGTACCTGTCCCCTCACTTGTTCTCACCCTGGTTAGTCACTTGTGACCTAACCGGCCTTCGCAATAATCACCAAATCGCTCGAGCATTTCTGAAAGATGCGGTTTTTGGTCGTGATCGCAGAGATTCCAGGCTCCTGATATCCGTATCGCATCATAGTCGATGGCGTAGCTGAACATGACTAACTGATATGGCATAGGAGATTCATCCAACTCGATCACTGTCGCAAAGTTCATCCACTCCGCTCTCCAAAGGCGCCAGTTCTCGGGCAGCGAACCCTCCGTCATCTCTAATGGAGTAAGCATCGCTACAAATGGCTGCTGTCTAATAGTTCTTATACGGTAAAGGTGATACTCAATCACTCGAAATGTCTTGCATGTTACTTGTTAGTCGTTACCTGTGGATTACTGACCAGAGCTTACAAATGATGTGCCAGGCTTGTGGAATGCTGCGTAAGGCCATATATAATTCGAGCACACCATGAAGCTGTTTTTTGAAAGGTGTCATAACGGGTGGATAAATTGGTGAATGTTTATTTATTTCTAAAGCTGGCTCTCAGAAAAAAACAATCGATGACCTGCCATACCATCGTAATGTTTTCTAACACCCTGTTGGAAGCCTGTCAAGCTTGTATACTGTCTGGGATTGCTTAGGCGCATGCGGTCGCTCGATGATTGGCAGAACTTTAGTAAGTCGACATACTGCTGTCGGTGTGGTCCGCTAACAGCTGTGAGTACGTTCAACCAATCATGGTGTAGCAAGTGGTAATACCCACTAAACCTTTTTTGTAATCGTGCGTCACTGGTCGCCAGCGCAGGGGAGACTCGTCTAGGGGAAGGCTTCAGTCCTTGATCAGAGCATTCGACGTGAAGGCACAGGTAAGCATTGACCATCGGTGTATCAGGCACACATGTACACACAGAATTTGTACGCTTTTCTTCAAGTTCACTGTGCCATACCAATCACGAAAGTCCACGGTTAGGTTTCTCTTTCCTTTGTCAGCCATTGGATAGAGCGAGGCTCATGGTGGGCAAAGGTTAGGCAATAGATGGTAGCCAAAGCGAACAAGCGAAACATATTGCATAAAAGCTCAACAATGCCAAGTAGTTATTTCAGTTCACAAGCAAGCGGCTAAGTATCTGTGTCTAATGGCCTCGGCAGTAGTATCGGCCGCATTAACTGCTTTTGATCACCGCATTCCGGCTTAACATGGTGGATATAAATAGTCTCAGGAATCGACAGGAGCTGCTTGCAGAAAGCTTACGCGAAGCGGTCAAGCAATGAGTAACTGACTTTGAAGTCATTCCCAGATACTGCGTGACCAATATCAAGATGTGACATAATACAGTTTTTGAGAAAATATCATTTCACATTTGTTGAACAACGTCCGGATATGCTCGCGGATCCTTTGATCTAGACGCCCTGTAGTACCACCCACGCATCGTGACAAACGAGAGCCCGAATCCTAATAAACGAGCTTTGAACGACTTACTGAGGGTAGTCCATCTTCCAATGCTTATGCGAGCAATGGCTTGCTGTAGTAAACGAGCTTTTAGATAGTATTTTTCCACTGTTCACTTTGACTAACGTCCATGACCTACCTTTTTCCCATCGATATGACTGTTTAAACAACTTAGATGGGAGAGAGCCACACCGAAACCCTCCATTTCGGTGACGATCCCAGTGACCGTATTGGCAGAGATTGACTTCAAAGTCAACTGACGCCACGATTGAGAGTGCGTGTCGCAATTCAAGACACAAGCCGAGTGCTCCAAAACCCGCAAAACTGCTTCTAACCGCTGTTTCATTCACGGCTCGCGCAGCTTAATGGCCTAGTGATCATGGCGATAGCCGCCAACCATTATGCGCCGAGTTCCACTCCAAGCTTCTCTATCTCTACATGATGAGGCAAAACAAGGACGAAACCGTCGACCGTGGAGTGCGGGGATGGGAGAGAGCCACACCAAAACCCTCCACTTCGGTGACGGTATCAGTGACCTTCTTGGCAGAGGCTGACTTTAAAGCCAACCAAGGCCAGGGTTGAGATTGCATGTCGCAATCCAAGGCACGTGGCGGGTGCTCCAAAACCCGAAATCAACTTAGAAATATATTTCCAAGGCCGATTTGACACAGTAAGCACATAATCCTTGTCATCTAAACAGTAGGGTCTGATTAGAGTTTACCGAGAAGAGTTCTTAACGTACAACTCATTTCTGGTCTTAATTTACGTCAGTGGAATTATTAACATTGCTCGTGATTTACTCTAGCTTCAAATTTCATACCACCCACCTAATTCAATCACCCCGTAGACCTAGCTGTACATTAAACGCAAGCCAGGGAATCAACAGTCGGCACTAGAGAAGGGTTTCAAATAGTGCCATGCTGCTCACCTAGAAATGTTAAATGTGATCTATATTGGCAGGAATAAAGGGTTCCTACGGCAAAACCATCTTCTCAGCATCAATGCGACGCCCGATTTACCTTCAACACTCTGGGAATGAAGTGTCAAGATGGTTGCGTTTGCTTTGAGAACATCACACTAATACAAGTTTTGACAAGGTCCGGTTGGTAAGACGCATTCATGTATGAAATTATTGATTTGTTGTGGTGCCGCCAAATGTATGGCTAACATGCTGCTGCCGTGCAGCTGACCGTCGCCGGAAATATGTTGTGGTTTTCGCTGACAGTACAGATACCCTGCCTGAAATCTGCTGTGCCGCCCCCAACCAGTTCAATCCTGCAACGAAATAAGAACGCCAAGACCAGCCGGACCGAGGGATTCGGATTCTTATTCTGATTGTTTGAGAGCATGGCGCAATAAATAGGTCGTAGGAAACGACTAACACAACAAAATTGGAGATGCTAGTTAATATTAATTAACACAAATCAAACGGTTCAGTTTCACCATCCAAGTTGCCGTTAATTCCACATAGATTCGTATTTTGATCTGTACTCGAGTTTCGATCTCCAATTGTAGATCGATCCGCTCTTGCGCCACGCTTCTCGACTTGAGCGCTGACTCTCCGTGACATGGTTCTCTGTGGCTTTTAGTGTCAACTTTTACTTTTGTTGGAAAACAGTTTACTCATCCAATTAATGCGCTTTGTTACTGCTCCAAATGCTTGGCTCAACGAGCGAATGGCCTGCGCACATGTGTTAATTCATATGCAGTACATTTTCCTTCATCTATTCACTCTCAACAGGCGTCTGTAACCAGTAGTTATAATGCAATATCTTGTGTAACTGTCAGGTTGAAAAAATGGGTTGAAGTGCCATATCTCAGAACACGCTTGGAAGCAACTGGGATCTCATGATTACAGAAGCTTTGAATACAAATCGGTTTTTGTAGTTTTTTGAAGCAATTTTTCCAACTTGAGACAGTAAAACCTACAAAAACCGGTCTGTATACAAAAGCTTCTGAAATAATGTGTTGAAGTTAATTCGTTACGGTTGTTTGTAAATGTGTTTGAAGCGTTCTAATGTAAATTAAAAGGGAATATGCGAGTGAAAATATGGAACTAAGAAGCATTGCAATCGCTTACTGATAAACCATAACAATTACCCCAAAACAGTGTGCAACAGTTGGTCTCACTTCAGTGTCCTATGTGCTTGCGAGACAGCTTGACTTGATGTCGACACATTTCCAGCTATAAATATGTGAAACTCTTCTACCTAGCTAGTTTAGATAAAGGTACTATCAGTTGGATTGAGAGGACTTGCAATATGCATTGAGTTTCATACTGAATTAGGGTCTTCCATTCTCGGTCCTAGTATTGTCGCCTGAACCAGTGGACAGTGTGTGATGTAGCATACCACATCCTATCCTATAGTATAACTGTTCAATGTTAACCGGCTTAGTAAGCAAAGCAGTTGGAGTTCGTTGTAAATCACTAAGAGAGGCACCGGATGAAAGACATACAAAAACTGGAAACCTTTTCGAGAATTCTCAGCAGCGCACATTCCATCTGAATGCTGTGGGACTCGACCCTGCAACTCGACTGTTACTAGTCTACGGTTAAGACCAGTGAGTTACGGGAGATGGTAACGACCGAAGTGATTGTTACTAGATGTGTTATAGCGCCACTCACTTTCCACTGACTTTCACACTACCGTGCAGAGGACAATGTAGCCCTAACCCACTCCGAGCGACCTATATCACGTTTAGTAACTGAGTCACGTCGGTCGTTTCCATGTTCCTAGCTCAGTGGTCTATACCATAGACTATAACTTTTCGTAGGCAATTGTATCCAGAACGCTTGCAAATTTCTCCATAAGGAAATCATGTTCATCCATAGAATTTTCGAGTTCGTGCTTAACGCTTTCAAGTTGAATCCAGCGGGCACGAACATCCATAAATGTTACGATCGATTGATTGACCAAACCCAAATCACAAAACGTCGTCCCACTCTGTATGCGCTGCTGTTATACTACCTGCTTGTTTGAGATTGGTCACACCACAAACAACACCTTTTTTAGGAGTGTTTGCGACAATTGGATGCAAGTTGAAAGTGTTAAGGACCACCTTTAAAGACCTATGAAGGAACATGATTTCATTAAGGAGGAATTTAATAGCGCTCTGGATTCGATTGGCTGAGAAAAGGTATAGCAAGAGCCGAGTTACATTTTCAAACACCACAGGTTCCAGTTAGAATGCGCACTACTGACGAGTTCCGTAAGGATGAAACGGCCGTACAGCGATGCTCGGGGTGTGTGCTGGCTGTCGGACACAATCTACATGTGTTGGACTTCAGTTTACACCATTCAACCTCTCTACTACTGTGAACTGGAAATCATCACATAATTATAAGCGTTGTTTGACACTATGTCAAAACGAACAAACACTGTAGCATATGGCAGCACTTATGCAATTTGTCGACGGGTACGATTCATCCATTAGATTCTGCTCAGTTTCTCAATACGTAACCATTAAGAAAAGTAGGAGAGAATACTCTCATCCCATAGAAGATAAACTATCCCGTTTTCTGTGCGGTTAGCAACAATGATTTCAGAAATAGTGTTGGATTAATCCTCGGAAGAGTTAACTTTGATAATAAGTAGTGGGTAATACTTTGTTACGCACACAAGTAGCCTAAGATGGTTAGAGTGAGAAGACACCAACAAAACGTTTAGATCCAAACCTTTAAGGTGCACAATTATGAAAAGGTAAAACCATGGTATACTATGGACAGTAAGCAACTGAGTTAAATATCACGGTGCACGACTGACGCGGGAACATGGCATTTATATGTCAGCGTACAAAGTAGCGTGCAAGCTCATTAACATTACTTTTTCTATGGGAATATACAGAAGTTAGAGTCCACAGTAAGCAATATGTGAGAAATTACTTTGTCAAAATCATCATGCTTCCGATCCGTCATTGTACCAGCCTTTCCGGAGATGTACTGGTAGCAACCGCTTTCTTGTCGTACTGCGGCCCATTTAACCAAGAATACCGTCTGGCTCTGATCAACTCGTGGCAAATGGAAATAACGAGGAGGAAAGTTCCTGGCTCAACCGTTGTGAATCTGATCGCCACACTGACTGATCAAACTCAGGTACGCTTCTCAGTAAATAACTAGCAACTTCGACCAGTTAATTCCTTTTAGGATTGGATGACAACATACTAGCTCCAAGAAAGGCGCTAATACGTATTTTTCTTACATGCAGCTGGAACAGTGGAACCTTGAAGGACTACCAACAGACGAACTGTCCATCCAGAATGGCATAATTGTTGATAAAGCCGGCCGATATCCTTTGTTGATCGATCCTCAAGGTCAAGGGACGGCCTGGATCAAAAACCGAGAAAAGTCAAATGATATGCTTGTGACGACTTTGTGGAATAAGTACTTTCGGCAGCACTTGGAAGATGCGTTGTCCCAAGGCCGACCATTGTTGATAGAGGATGTGCATGAGGACTTGGACCCCACATTGGACAACGTGTTAGAGAAAAATCTCATTAAGCAAGGATCTATGTTGAAGGTAATGTTGTGAGTAAATCGGCAGATGAACAACTAAACCAAAAAACAAATGCAAGTTTTAATTACTTATTCAATGTACTATGCCAGCGTGATGTTCCCTATAAAATCAATATTTCGTGCACTTTTGAATGCAGCTTGCTTCATTGGCGCACTGGTGGTCTCGAAAAGGAATTGGTAACTGAAAGCTTGTTAACCGTGACATATGGTCCACGTTGGAAGATCCGCCCTATCTTGATTATCCAGAGTAACCAGTTAATGAGACCCGCACGTTGACTCCATATGACATAAACCGCATCCATCGAATGACGACATATACGCGGAACAAACGATGTACGAGCAGACCTTTAACTCGGAACAGAAGTACTTACGACTGTGTTGGTGCAAATGTCATCGGGTTCTAGCAACGCTCGCTTCATTTCATCCAAACAGTACTTTCACGTTGTACGTTTCACTAGGACTATCTCACGAAACATCATTTTTGCTCTTCTATCCGCTATCAGTGAGTATTGTATTGCTTCAGAAGCTATCGCTAGCTGATGGTTCTTTAAAAACAGCATTAAAGTGTTCAGAAAACTGCGTCGCTTGAACGCACTCATTTAAATGATGCTTCTATTGCAGAACCTCCTGCAACTGATGGAGAAATATGTTGCAAACTTGGAATCAGTGCACGGAACTGCCAAGTGTGCATCGCCGATGCGTACAAACGGTCTCACTAACAAGCAACTGGTTTTGTGGTGACAAAATATATTGTGAACACTAGACCTTCTCGTATTTTGATACACTCATAAGCCAACAACCTTTTATTACTTTACACGCACTGTTAATAGTGGTATAGGTTCAAAACAAGAAGGCAAATCTATATATACCCATCTAAATCGGTAAACCTTTGACACGGAACAAAAGCAGTCATAATGTGTATAGGCTCAGCGTAATCTCATAAAAACATCCAAGCTGCTATATTGGCCTACTAGATTCTACGACTGTAATCCACTTCCTTGGCCTAAGACCGATGTGACATTGTAAATCCATTAGTGTATTGAGCCATTGTCTTTAAGAGTAGCCATAATAAGTCCGTCATAAGCAAGCGGTTATAATTATCCACGGGGTTGGTTTATAAAATCGTCTGACCGTTACATTCCACTGCTTGGTACCGAAAAACTCCGTAAATAAGCTAGCCGACAGGTTTCGACAGTTTCTTAAGCGGACATCCTTGACTGTACCACTACTAACTTGACGGGTTAGGTGGCCAACTGCAAACACTCATTCCGTATGCCGAGTCTCAATAACCGGGAACGAAGCCTAACATCTCTTCTCATGGATGTTCATCTTGCTGCATTTTGTGTAGCCTTGTCTGTGTTTTGGTGTACACTATCAGGATCACTCGAAACGTGAGGCGTGATGCGCCTGCGTGATAAACGCCCTTCTTATTCAAGGGAGCCTGCCTATAAGGTTTTCCTCCTGAGGGATACAACCATGAAGCAAGATGCGCGCCTCGTCATCATTATTATCCTTACACATAAGCTAAAGGTGAGAAAAACGCTACAACTAACTGTGCCGCAATACGAAAACTAAGATAACTAAAGAGTGCGATACGAAACATTGCAGAACACATGAGCTAAAAAGTAATTTACCTAATAAAACTGTTCTATTATCCATGTTTTGTGCGATCGTTGTTGAAGGAGGATGAGCAGTGGGAAGGAGAGGGACAAAGCAACTCACGACATAAACGCCACGGAAGTTAACTATTTGCCATGTCAACAAGCGTATCCAAGCAAGCGTGTTCACCCTCTTTCAGACCTCAGCATGGAAGTTTGTAGACACCAACCGACGCCAAGTTTGAAGTGAGAGCCTTTATTCCCCTTGACCAAGTCCTCGATTGGCCTCTTCTCCTCTTCTTTCAACTAGACCGCGGGCGTGCAACGATGCACCCTGCGAGGTCGGTGTGTTGTCGTGCACAACATGCGGCCTGGCCATTGGAGTCTGATGAGTGATATCGTAGTGCTGAGCGGTTCACTTGTTCTTAATGCACCAAATACGTGATGCCGAATACGCTCATTGCTCACGAGGTGCTCCCACAAGACATGAGGTAAGCTGTGAAGGCAGCGATGATTGAGCCTAGTTTACCTCTTTATATCTGTCGACCTGATGGGCCAGGTCTCACAACCGTACAGTAGGGTTTAACGTATGGCTTTATTGTAAACTTTGACCTTTAAGGAGAGAGTGATGCAGCGTCGGCACTACAAATGGCGGAGATTAGCAAAAGACCTCCAGCTTTTGCTTTACGTCTCGTGATCTCGTCTGCGATCCAACGGGCGCTACTATGGCTGTCAAGGCACTTGAGTTTCTGAATGACTACTAGCTGATCACCGCCAAGGGTTGGCGCAGGAGTGCGTCCCTATTAATCTTGGAGAGGGACTTTGCATTTTGAAGGTGCAAAGCATAGCCTTAAACGACTGACAGCCAGAGTTACTTTATCTTGTGCAACCTGGCACGTTCTGGAGCTGTCACAAATCAGGGCAATGTCGTCAGCATACTCCAAATCACGAAGTCGTTCATTTGGAAGCCGCTCCACAATTTCAGTGGCGTGTCCAGTGAATGCCATTTCCATGGCATCGTCGATGGCGAAATTAAAGAGGAAAGCTGACAGCGGGCAACCTTGTCCCACAGCGCTAGCGATACTGAAGGACTGCGACAGTTTGCTGTAAACCCTCACTCTCCCCGAACTATACGCGTACAGCGCTCTTATGACATTGACATGGTTATCAGGTACACCTTTCCTAAACAGACAGTTCCAAACAGCACATCTATCTATCGAGTTGGAAGCAAGTTTGATGTCTAGGAAGACGACAACCGTGGGCCACCAATGCATTTGATGATGTTCCAACAATTGGCATAAGGTAGAGATGTGGTCAATTAGTCACAATTTCAAAGAATTTCGGCTTGCAACTTACAAATATGACTTACAGGAATGCCAGACAGCATGTGGAGGATGAGAGGCAAAAAGATTAGCGGCAGTTGTAATCAGACTGATCCCTCTGTGATTGCTGCAAGCCGTACGGTTGCCTCCCTTGAAAACTAGAACTAAGCTGGAGCGACTACGATCGGTTGGGAAGGTTTCGTGCTCCCACAGTTTCATAGGTAAGTTTTGCAATCCATCTACAACAGCCGGTCCACCGAAAATACTTAAAAGTGTAGTAGCAACTTTGTTTGGAATGGCCAGAGGGATCAGGGAGGCATACAGAGTGAAGCAGTGTTGGGCAATCTGCCTGCATTTTTAACTGTTTTCTCGGTGGTTCATTTTAATAGACATGGCATAATCGGGTGGTGCTTTGATGGTATTGCTTGTTGCGGTGAGGAATACGGGTTAAACTTGTGTATCAACAATAAGTCAATATCTGCGATTGTTATTATTACCTCATCGCCCATTTTCTTCAAGGTTCCTTCAGATGACATGACGCCTGATGTTAGAGCAATAGATCAAGCTTTATTAGAACCGACTAGAAGTTCGGTCTTTTTCTAATCTGAAATATCTTCATGCATAATCTTCAGCTTGCTGTTTGTTCTGAAAACCGCATGCCGCTTTTGATTTTCGGGCATACATATTGCCCCACCGGAGTGTAGTCTAGCATTATAACCACTGTATTAACCTGCTCATATCAAAGTAAGTCTGTCTCGGAATCGCGACTAAAATCGTTACTTGGTTATCGACTACTAATTTGTGATGGTTAAGATTTCTACATTTCATCTGGTTTATAGTTTCAATAGGGCGGTTATACATTTTGGAAAACCAGTTCCTCATAATCCAATATACCGCTAGATACAACCAGAAAACTAGCCAGAATTTTTGCATGCTAATGAGTTTTGGCCATTTACTATAGCTAACTATCCAACATGCATGCTATTTGAGCTGTTTATGTTTTACAATATATTTCAAACAAGTTGTAACATCGTTGTGAGTTTGTGTTTGTCTAAGCTATTGTGTTCTGAGTTATTAGTTGATAACCAATAGTTATAAAGCTACCCAAACCCATGCAAGGAAACCCCTTTGGATTCGGGCTTGTATTTAACAACGTGTTCCAGAACAAATAGTTATTTTTATTCTGGTAACAGATCTTGTTGTGCAGAATTGTAGTTATACTTGAGCGAATCCACATGGAATTGATTATACAGGTTAGCTAGCTTCCAGGTAATAGTCTTTGCTTGGCGGTCGGGTGCATAGCGACGGGGGTGATAGACGTTTGTTGCTTGGATGTTTACTACAATCAAATGGCATATCCGATGTAAAATAAAAATCGCTTCCTTGATTCTTTCTAACCACGGCTGTTCATTCCTTCTATTGCAGGTCAAAGTTGGTGATAAAGAAGTAGATGTTGCACCTGGGTTCAAGCTGTACCTTACCACCAAGCTGGCCAATCCCATGTACGCTCCAGAGATATCGGCACGAACTTCCGTGATAGATTTCACAGTTACAATGAAAGGTCTGGAAGACCAACTGCTCGGAAGAGTGATTCTAAGCGAACGATACGAGTTGGAATCCCAGCGAGTGAGACTGATGGAAGACGCACAATCGAATAAAACCAAGATAAAACAACTGGAAGATGGTCTTCTTCTAAGGCTAGCTAGTGTGGAAGGCTCAGTTGTAGACGATGCTGATCTGCTTACGGTATTAAACACAACCAAGTCAACTGCAGCCGAGGTGACACGTAAGTTGGAAATCGCCTCGCAGACGGAATTGCAGATCAATGCCGCCAGGGAAGAATATCGCCCTATTGCCATGCGTGGATCAGTCATCTATTTTTTAATCGTAGAGATGAGTCTCGTGAATTGTATGTACCAGACTTCGCTTGGTCAATTTTTACACCTCTTCGATTCGGCGCTTGAAAAGTAAGTCATCCGCACTTTATCTTGTTCTCAGCAACAAGATGTAGAGACCGAATCTGTTAACCAAGACACCGTATCAACACTTGTGTGATATCAGTTAGTGAAAGGGAAAGGACTGATAATATAAAAACTCTATGAGTCATTGATGTTTAGTTATATTGCCACTGATAACTTTGTTGTAACAGTCCCTTTTTATCACACCTATTGTAAATATAAATAAATAAATAAATTTGTATATATACCGACAGACGGTACTCTGCCCCATAAGTAGGCATCACGCATTGGCAACTTTGAGGTGCAGTCGCTTGGGACGTGACGTGGAACCTATCTCGTCATGTTTGCTTAGATGCTCAATTTCTTGCGCCCTCCTCATGCCTCTGTTCTTACCCCGAGGCACGTTACGAACTGATCCATTAGGAAACCAAGTCGCTAATTCTCAAAGGATGATAACGTATGTTAGTGTACAATGCAGTCTACATCCCGTCGCAATACGGGCTGCAAATAACGGATTGAAGCCCAAGTCAAATAGGTCAACTACCAATCCGGAAAGCACCAGGCGACCGACTCGCCCTATTGGGACTCGTCGGTGGTGCTAAGGGACCGAGCTCATGAATGCTAGTGGCCTGTGCCACTAACCAGCATTCTATGCCACTGAGGCATGGGGGGACGATAGCTGACCACCATAGATTGAAATCTAATTGCGATCTAGCTTAGCTCATCCTCAATTACCTTGTGAGTGACTGTCCGTGCAGAGGATAATGGTTTGCCTTCAGGTATCAAGACCTCCCTATTCATATCAGCGGATCCACACAGCATCTTGAAGGCTGTATTGGCTACATTTTTACTACTTGTAATCAGAAAAATTGATCGATTTATTTCCTTCATCGCAACTAAACTACAAACCAGGTGGGTCAATTACCATTCCGGAAATCACCAGACAGCCCTTTCATACTCTTAAGTGCCATCATTGATGTCTATTCCCCAGGTTTCTTCAGGGAAGCGGGTCCATGTCCCCTAGTGGCTTGCATAAATAGGGGATGGGTCGGGCTAAGTAACATTTAGATTTCAATCCATGGTGGTCAGTCATCATCCTAGGTGCTAGGGAGCGTAAGCTGAAAGTGATGCAAAGCACTAGCGGTCCTGGGTTCTTTTCCCCGAAGGGAACCTAGAGAACACGCGCCACTGACGAGTCCCCAATATACGGAACACCCACCCGGTGCCTTTCCGGAATGGTAGTTGACTTTTCTGACCTGTAATCTGATTGCGATTAACTAGCTAGATCTTACCAACTTCCACTACTCATGAAGAGTAATGGCGGATTACTTTATTGCAATAGCAGTGCAGCGAACACTCCATACGAAAAATACGAACAGAAGGCTCAATTTCAACGGTAGAGGTGACAATATATGCAGACCGCACAACGAACTCAGACAGTAGCTACAGTGGCTTCTTACTAACGTTTTGGGTATCATTCCAGTGGTAATGCGAGGATTGGTATAGCATTAACACTAATAATAGTTGATATCCCGACAGCGCAGCTTCTTCGAATTAATTTACTTTCATTATCGTAAGTGCCCCAGAATTGGCTTACACTCAGCATACTCTTCAATAGTGTATTCAAGCAGCTGAACTCTCCCACAAGGTTCCGAAGGAGGCTGCTGTAACAGAATGAGTGACACGGTTCCAGCGGTGTCTACTTCAGAAGCGAACAGCACGGCCCTGTCGTTACTGTTTGCCACGCGCACCAGTCGAACGCCCATCACCGACAAACCAGGAGCCAAAGTAAAAGGGAACTACGTGGTCGCATAGCCATGATTATGTATGGGGACGGGTGAATTATGAGATTTTTCGCGTAGAATAGTCTATGTAGGCAAAGATGAGGAAGCGGCACGTAGCGGAAAATGTGGATTCGCATGAGGGCGAACTGTAAACCGGGACGTGCTGGGACATGTGTGTTTACATGGGCGCTAGTGTCTGTGCCACAATTAAGTAAACAGCGGCGTAGCTTGTTCTTGTGTTATTTTATATGGACTGCGTTCTCGGTCGCAAAAGCAGAACAACATCAAACCTGCGTTGATCTAGAAAAATTTTCTCCATAAAAATATCTAAGTTATGGCAAAAGCAATGAAACCATACGCAACCTCATAAAAAGAAAGCTATTGATGGTAAAACTTGCTCATGTGAACTATGAACAAAGAATAATACGCTGCACTTTTAATACGGCAACCAGACATTTGCAGTTGTTTTCCCCGAGGTGTTAATTTGTTCCGACTGTTTGAAGCCTAACGGTGAGCAGAGGGAGGGAGATATTCTTCCTTTTGCAAGTACATATTTATGTAATCATAAAAAGTGGAAAGTAAACAATTCCATTTTACTTGAATATCCTCAACAGAGCCGATAAATCTCCGATGACTTCGAAGCGGATCGTGTATGTGGTTGAATACCTCACCTACAGTATATGGCGATACATTATTCGGGGGTTGTATGAGGTCGACAAGCCTACATTCTCACTGCTCCTGGCACTCAAAATTGATCTTCAGGCGGGACGGATCCGGAACGAAGAATTCCAGTGGCTAATTAAGGGTACGTTTGTTTAATTTCTTCCTATACTAACGTCTAAACCAGTGCAGATATTCATGTCGTTCCATATTTCTCGACGAAGCAATATGCGGTCTTAGTGGTGTGATCTGATCCATGTGCAGGTTCGTGAGTCTAATAAAAGGCAATAAAGCGGAGATCCTTCGTTGCATTTCGCCCAAATGGAACAATTCTTATTGGTAGCTTCCACAGAAGCACGGGTAGTCGAAAACCAAAGAACCCGCAAAGGAAACGAGCACTTTTGTTGTCATGTGGTCTTTAACCAAATAGTTGAGATTGTTCAAAGCGGACATTCGCAAATACGCAGCTAATGTATGACAAAAAGTAAACGTACATGTTTGAACGTGCAAAATGCCAGATTTATGTAATCTCATTTCAAACAAGGGACAAATAGGTGTACGAGTTAGATGAACTTCATGCGTCTACGTAATTTAACACAGGTTATGTGATAGGTTGCAAGGCATAGTTAAATCGACACACAAGACGTACTTGCTGTCGCAGATCATCGCGTGTGAAACAGTTGAATTTGTTGCAGAGAGGGATTGGAACAGGCAGAAAGTTTATTGGGTTAGACGAGAAGGTAGGCAGTTTGAAGAAACAACAATTACGCAGCATATGTAATATAGGCATGAATTAAACACACATTAATTATTCACCCAAGGAATTTAGATTTACGAGTGTGAAATGCGGGGATGGAAGCCTAGCTGGGCAGCTCATAGCCACCGAGGTAATGCCGTCTCGTCGCACCAAAGACAGCTATGGAAGGTGAAGCAGGTAGTCATTTAAGGCGGTCACATAGGATGAGGCTTCGTTTTATATACGATTCGTTTTTATCTGCTTGACTTCTGCTATGGCAACACTTTATCGTTTTAAGTAGTTATTCTACTATTACGATTTCTAAGAGAAAATAATTCGTTTGTTTGCCGTAAGCCTTCCTGATGCCGGCCGGTGGCCGAGTGGTCTGCACGTTTGCTTTGCAACCGTAAGGTCACCGGTTCGAATCCGCGTAGGGGTGGGCGTCCTCGCGGCTGGTGGTGGTCGCGCGGCAGCGAGGCGCCGTTCCGGCGTACAGCTGACACATTATTATTTTTTAATTAAGCTTTTCTGAGGCTTCATTGCGCTCCGGTAAGGGGGAATAATTCGTGGAAATGTTTTATAATGAAAAGCTTCCGAAGCGGTCGCACGGGTGCTAAGTGAGATGCAAATAAATGTGGCTCCGTTCAGCACCTTGCGTTTGAACACTCCGACTCTGTGAGAGAGGATGACCATATGTATGCATAAAATTGGTTGCAAAAACTATGCGCATGTGCACATAGGTCAAACTACGACAGAACGGTGCGCAAGGATGGCGTATTTCAGGCCCGCCGAGAAGCTAAACTGAATATTAGGTATTATTTGAGCATTCTGTGGGAGCGGTCCACTTGCTGAACACACGGTACGTAGTGAATTGGGGTATTTTTGGGGTCATCATCATTATCATACACGTTTGCTAGAGTTGGGGAACACCTCAGCTACTGTGCCGCAATACACAGAAAAAAGGAGGGAAAAACAACTGGTGCAATCCGGCTGAGCTACCGGTAACGCATGGGCATCGTTCCGGTAAGCTACCAGCCGGCTACTGTGCATCAAAAAAATTACTATGCTAAATTATATAAGGCTAAATAATTAGATCGTGGTTGGAGGGGAAGGCTAAGAGGGATGGGGTGAGACAAAGAAACTCACAGCACGAACGCCACTTAGGTCGGCTCCTAGCCATATCAGCAAGTGTGTCCAACCAAACGTGTTCATCGTCTTTCTGACCCCAACCAGGGAGCCGAGACGCTCCAACCGAAACTAGCTCAGAAGTGAGGGCCTTCATTCCTTTGGACCAAGTCATCGCTTGGCAACCCCTCCTCTTCTTCCATCCACACCCCCGGCGCGCAAACAACGCACGTCGCGGGAGTCGGTGGGCTAGCATGCGTAACACGTGGCCGAGCCATCGGAGCCTGGTGTGTGAAATAACGGTGCTGAGCGGTTCAGTTCTTTTTCCTGTGCCGTAAACAAGGCGTCGAACACGCTCGTTGCTCACGCGCTATTCCCACCAGATGTGAGCTAAATTGCGAAGGCACCGGTGGTTGAACGTAACTAGCCTCTTCAGGTCCGTTGCTTTAAGGGGCCAGGTTTCACAACCGTACAGTAGGGTCGAACGTACCGCTGCATTGTACACTGTACCCTTCAGGGCCAGAGTGATGTCGCGCCGGCGCCATAAGTGGCGAAGGTCAGCAAAAGCACTTCGAGCTTTTGCTATACGGTTTGTGATCTCATCGTCAATCCCACGGACGCTGATACAACTTCCCAGGTAGTTGAATTTTTGAACGAGTTCTAGCTGATCCCCACCAACGGTCAGCGAAGGAGGCGGTCCAGACCAATCTTTGAGGAACGCTTTGCACTTCGAGGGTGCGAAGCAAAGCCCGAAGTGACAGACAGCTAGTGCTAATCTGTCCAGTGCCGCTTGACACGTCTGGAAGCTGTCACAGATTAGGGCAATATCATCAGCATACACTAAGTCAAGAAGTCGTTCTCCTGGGAGCAGGTATTTTGGGGTACGAGCAACAAAACTGTAGTTAGTTGTCAAGGCGGTAGAAGTCGCCAATGGCTGGGTGAACATAATAGACAAAGTGGGGCTATCAAATGTGTGGCGGATTGTCTTAGCCTGACCAGGTTGAACAGCGTTGGCATACGGATTCAGGCTAGAGACGAACACCGAACTATCAGCATCGGTATCGACACCAACAAGAGTAGAAAGTCAGGTAGGTATAGGGTGTTTCTAGTCCGAAAACACTACACTCCACGACCGATTACGTATTTATTGATCTCATCAGGTGGAGATGGCAGCTATCGAACCAGGAACCATTGCAACCTTAGTTTGGACCTGTGCCCCTTTTACAACCTAGTCACGACGGGCAACGCTTGTCACAGTGGTCAGTGACTGATTGCAGGGTCATTTTCAAGTAATCGTGGTGTGGATGGATTGCCATGCGCAAGCTCAGTGTGAATCGCGATTCCCATTGAAGTGAACTCTGACCAATTCGATCACTGGGGCCGTAATGGACGAAAGAGATAGATATTGGGTTTTGACCTCCCGAAATCACTATGTCTATCTGCTTCAACAGTTACGGTCTCAGTGATAGAAGTGGCCAAACTTCACCCCAATGGGAATCGAGGTCCACATTGAGACTGTCGTAATCCATTCACATAAAACGAGCACTTCAAAATGACCTTACAGAGATTAGAAAGGCTTTAAGAGTGAACGACCTACGGATCACAGGGAGCCCCTCATATTTGTTGTGCACCCTAAATGACACTGTTAATTGTTCTAACTGCAACGGTAAGTATGCACCTGCCCGTATCGTTCTGCGCAATTATTAGGTTGATAATAAAGTTATTGCGATTTTTAACCTGAAATTTGAATTAGAATCATTTGGCTCATACGTACCATTCTAGATCGAAATAAAAATCGTTTGCATTGACACATCTTTGCCAACGTGAAAACTGCTTATTGTTGGCATGTTGGAGTACACACCGTGTGTCGTGGGTTGCGATACGCCAACTCAATAATAACACTGCCATTCCGATCACTGGGAAGTTATTCCAAGTGAAGAGATTCGGGGTTGGGAAGGAAACAAGTTTAGTTATCCCCAGAAGGCTGCGATAATTCAGACCAGTCGCAGATCACCAAACAATCACCAAAACCATTTTTGGGTACAATTTCGGCTTTGGGACTTGCTGTGTAGCTTTATGGTAGTTCAGTCATTGAGCAGTGCGTTGCCAAGGAGTTCACTTCATCGTATGTCACAACCTAGTAGAAAACCGGGTCGCTTTTATTGCGCAAAACAAGGGCAACCAACACTTTAAACAGCCGCTTCCTTTGGTTTTCCTTCAGTTCAACGGCACCAACGTACACATTCCAATCACTCAGAAATCTTGGAAAATTGTCACATGCGATACTGCTAGACCCGTAGTAAGGTCTCGTGCAGTTTTATGCGGATACACTGTAACTGAAGCTTCCAATTCATCGTTGTTCACTTCCGATGACCGTCCACAACGTTCTCCATGTTCAAGCCTCTCGTGACCTTTAGGAAAATTTTGAAACCACCATTGTGCAGCACGGTCATTAGTTGCTCCAGGACTACATGAACTGTTTATGTTATGAGCTGTTTCCGCTTAAGTTCAACCAACTTTAAATTAGAACATGATAATGGTCTACAACTTGTGTAAAAGTGCAAAAACATTTTCTGTGCCAATTTATCACCATTGATATAGTGGAAAAGCACCTCAAAATAAGGTCAAAGAAGCTCGTTAGAAACTTGTTTAGAAAAACAGTTGTTAAAACAATAATTACAAGAATCGCAACAATTTATTGTCTACCTAATCTTATCCATCTGCTACAAAGGTCATATAAATTAGGTAGCTGTTCTGTTGGCCTGAAGAAACTGTTTCGTTATGAGCATCACGTTGCCAAAAATAAAATTTCGCTCCCCAATTTGCACGCAAAAGTTTATGAACTCGAAATTTCTCATCCATCTCCAAGTCTATTTTGAGGTTCTAGACTCTTCGTGAACTTGTTCCTCTTTTTTTTCGCCTGCTCTTTTGGAAGCCGAGTTCACCATTTCCTATGGGGAGTTGGAAATGGTTTACAAAACATCCCGTTTTATGGTGTGCACTGGTACTTAAATGTTGCCGGTTTAGTATTTTACTATTCGTTTCAGCAACAACCCTAGAACTGAAGAGTACGCGCTACTTTTATTAGCAACAGGAATAATAGGAAGGATTGATTTCATACAACGTATTCAAGTTGGATCAGAGTGCACTTGAGAACCCAAGAAGTCAACTGATGAATGTCGATTTTCTTTGCTCGACGAAGATACGGTCGCTATAGTTGAGGCTGAAGGAGATGGTTGAGCCTTGTCTTCATCAGCTGAGCACGGGTACTTTGCCTATGGAATTTACTGAGTCATTCAAAAGGCCTGTTTAAGAAAAATTAGCGATGCTACATCGGGCTTTGATAGTGGCTCTTTTATTGTTCATCGCGAAGTCTAGAGGGTTCTAGTAGTACACCCCTAGATTGCAGCAAATATAGTAGTGGGGTAGTGGTCTGTCGACAACATTCACCCGACCGCATCCGGACTAGAAAATTGTTCTACAGCTCTGTTTTCGCCAACTGAAACTTACAATTGTTTTGGCGAACTATAAACTATCATCTGGGGAACATCATTGCCTCATTTCTTTTTCATGGATAGTACAACTAAGTTCCAGGATTCTTCTAAGCGCAGCTGAAATTGCACAGCAGGCGCAGATGCTATTATGGAAGCAGTTGCAAAATCCTCGTTGTCGTCTATGACGCTAGGATTTAGAAATACTCGTTCGCGATGACTTCAGGTGCATACTCATTACAAAAGAATGCAGCTGTTTTTATGTTCTGCTTCGAACAGAAGTAAATCGCTTTAATGCAGTTGTTGCTGGGTAGCTAGTCATATCGGAAAGTAACACTTTAGCTGTTACGGGGAGAATGGGTTTGGTCTGCGGTCTCATGACTTCTAGGGTTTTGCTTGAATATCTCACCAGTAGATTACTTGGGCTAACAAGTTTGAAATGAACTTCTCCTTATGACTTACTCCGTTAATAGGATTTTAATCTACACCTAGGTGAGCGTTAGCAAAAGCACAACTCTACTTTATCGTCCGACCTTTGTAGTGAACAAGAATAGCCCGGGGTTTGCGACAGCCCAATAAAGACCAATCATTTTTTCCTTCCTCCTATGATCAAAGCCCTCTAGTTGCCTTTCTCATGTTTGTTAAAGGTGGTTCAACGCTGGACATAACAACAGTGACACCAAAGCCATTCAAGTGGATCACGGATATGACTTGGCTAAATCTTGTATCCTTATCGAACATACATCAATTTTCCGGTATATTAAATCATGTCACGAACAACGAGCGGGCCTGGCGTTCTTGGTTTGACAAACTGACGCCTGAGATGGAGCCACTTCCGAGCGGCTTTCAAAGCTCCATGGATGCCTTCCGGCAGCTACTCCTCATACGTGCCTGGTGCCCTGATCGAATTACGCAACAGGCAGAAACGTACATCAGTGCGACGCTCGGGGCAAGGTTTACCGAAGGTCTCGTGATGGAAGTCGAGGAGGTGTTCGACGAGTCCGTCCCACATTGGCCATTAGTTGGATTGCTCAGTATGGGATCGGATCCAACAATGCGGATTAAACTCTTGGCCAAAAGGCACAGGGTAAGTTGTTATTAGTAACAGTTGCGCAGAATGCTTTCATAAAATAGTGGTTCAAAAAGTATATCATCCTATCTGTTGGCATGTGTGAGACTTCACATTCTTTACCTGCACAGCAATCACATGCTTTGAATTATATATGCTGACTACCGAGTTCCTTCCACAAAGTGGAAGCATATCGTTCGAGTACTTCCAGATTAACATCGAGTCATGTAACATTCTGGAAATGGAAGTATGCGCAATGTATAAAAATGAACCGGTATCGAGAAGAAAGAACATCCCGCATTCGCTTGTTTGGTCGCACTTGTGGACCAATTATTTTAAAATGATGAGTTTATGCAAACTTACACATATCATTTGCACTGTTATCACTTTTGCGCCTGTCTGTAGCGTTGTAAGCTGTTGGTATTCCACATCATTGGTTCCCCAATGGGAAGACGTGCGATGCTTAGGCAGGAAGTCAGAAGTTTCATGCGTTGTCGTCGCAGAGCCGGTGACCGCCCCTCGCGGCTTTTTCCACTACAGCCCTGATTTTGTAAATAGGGTGAAGTGTGTCAGACACTTATTATTAGACAAGCGTAAGCCGTGACCCAACAAAGAGTGTATAGTAGGCAGCAGCCGTGAAAGACGTCCCACATGAACCAAACAACTCAGTGCCTCGAACTCGATGCTCAACCTCATGCTCCAATTCAGCTCAGTGTAAGAGTAACGATCCAGAGTCAGCCCCCCGACACTAGCGTCTGCTCACAAAGAGGGGTTCGCCACACATTCCTCAACAGAATCAGCCGCCACTAAACACTGTAAGGGACAACCTCGCGTCCGTTGTTACTACCCATATGACGGAGGCACCTCTCAATGCAACCCCGCTTGCTGCCAAACGAGTTACTACTGCCAATACCACCAGGGGACGCAAGACCTCATCATTTGTCCAACTGAAGAAAGCAACCACAGGTCCCTCCAAAAAGGAGGACATGAAACATTGCCATAATTCTCTAACAGTTATATGGCCTAATGTGACTGAGTCCGGGGCGAGCTCCATAAAAGATAAGATCCTAGATGCCAAAAAGCAGTGGGACTCCCTGTGTCAAATAATAGGGGTTCAAGCTAAACCAGTCAGTATGATGAGTCTGCACCGTCACCCAAACTCCGTACACTACGGTGAACCGCAGTTACTCCAGATAGCACTTCAGTCAGGTAATGATGCCGAGGCAGTTCTCTCGTCAGTCACTTGCCTCCGTACCACCACATGAACTGTTTGAATATTTCCAGATGTTCCTTGAAGCGAACGCCAGAAACGCAAACAAAATCCGGATAACTTTCGTAAACAACAACACGCAAAATCTATCCTTGTTCACGGTGTCCCCAAGCTTCAGTCACTAAGCGAGCTAGAGGTCAAAGCGCATGACTGGGATAAATGGCGTTTTATTCGTGAATTACTCTCACTCGAAATTGTTATAGCAAATTCGACATCAAGGTTGCCCCTATCACCTAACTACAAGGGCTGTGGTCCCCTAGTGACAAAAGTATCGTTGCACTCCGAACTGATGGCAGAACATGTGATCAAAATGTGACACATAAAGCATAAAATGCTGCCATCCGAAATAGGTATAAAGGCAATAGGCGCCTGAGCACAGATAGACAATGTAACACTGAGCAAGCAACTTACCAATACCATTCTGTCACCGTGTAGCTCAGAACGGAAACAATGCCAAAACACACCGGCAGCTGAAGGAGGACAGAATGGTCACTATTTTGTTTGCGTTGAGAGCTCTATACAATAACCTGCAAGGGTGGCATAGACCGTTACCGGAAACCATCATTCACAAACACGCTTCTGACCACCGACGCCCTCACCTGCTTGTATACCAATGCACAAGATCTTCTCAGCAAGCTAACCGAACTTCGTATTCGTCAGGTCTCCACGTCTTGGGACCTAGTTATGGTCACCGAAACATGGCTGAACACGGAGATCACGGATGCTGAGATGGCACTACCCGGCATGACTTCCATACGGAACGATCAACCTAGCAGATGAGGGGAGTACTCCTGTATTATCGATCCGACCTGCATGTTGATGTCATTGAGGACCCAGACACGAAAGTCGTCGATTCTCCTTGGTGTCGTATGCACCTAAGACGTGGTGATGTGTTTACTAGCAATAGTTTACCGCCATCCAATGTCCACCTTTAGTAATTGGATCAATGCCTAGATTCAGCGAGGAAGCGAGTCCTGGCACGACCATACAGTCATGTCCTTCTGGTGGGGGACTTCAATCTGCACGCAATCAAAGTTCCAACATCATACTGCAAAACATTCAATGCGGGTTTGCAAGAGGTGATTGCCGATGTACTTCTGTACAACCATCTCACCTCTCCCACGCTATTCCGAACGGGTGACACACCCTCTGTTTTGGACCCTGTGCTCACCAACGAGGAACTAATGGTCGACGCCGTGACCATAGATGCACTAATTGGCCGTAGCGATCACGCGATGTTGCTCTTTCGTTACATCTGTTACTCAGAGTACATCAGTGAGAACAACGTGTTAACCTATGTCGTTACACATTACGATAAACTGTCCAACTTCGTTCAAGAAGCCGACTGGTCCTTCCTGGCGGAGAAGCCGCCCAATGTCGCCTGGAGGTTGTTCGTCACCAAATTCACTG